CCAGCGAATGGTTTGTTGGAATGTAATTACATTGAGGTTATGATATCATATTATGCCAAAATGACAAGCTATGATCAATGAAATCAGGTTGTAGTGTATCTGATGACATATGGGCACATTGGCATCGGTTCCGGGAAATCCTTGGAATCCGGTTTTATACACGTAAACCAAAAATCTATTACAATGAATGTTAGTTCCGTTTCCTATCATCCTCTGTCATCTGAACATCGCAAAGAATGTTAGAAATTGACCATGCAGGCGATGTAATGGTTTTTTGTCTTTTTTATTTCGTGTTCTATCTACGCTTTCGACTATACCAGTAAGCTTGTAGAACGACGCACACACTTGCCTCGAATCTCTCCAGCAGAAAAAGTATACGAAGTCGAGTATGCGATCAAATGAGCGCTTCATGTTTGCTTTTAGGCTATCCATAAACAGAAGCCTGGAAAGAGCAGTGGAGAAAGCACAGGTCTGATAATCTCAACGTTCGTGGTTCTCGAGTCCAGTCGGCAGTCTGTTTCCTCTTTTTTTCGACATAACTAATTTACCACACTAATACACTCTACATTTTTCTGTCTCGAATTTTCTTGCATTGGACCGCAGCTAGGTACATCACATCCTCGGTTCATGCGATCTCCACTAACATCCTCTGATGATGAATCCCACATAAATGTAAGCGAATCTTACATCCCCCGTTTGGGTGGACCTCAGAATTTCTAGTACGCGGTGGACTGTTGAGGATCATCCTCAGGATCTTGTTCTAGATTATTTGCTTGTAGACAGCAAGCTTGTTTTTCAGGGATAAGGTGGATCTTATATTGATTAGCGGGTACAACGACCTTAGCAAGATGTTGCATTTTGTTTTTGTTTTGTCAACATGCTCCCTGACAATCAGTTTGCTGTCTTTGGACCACTTCACCACTGTGCCGTTTAGGCAGATTTTCTTATTCCCAGACGGAACAAGTCTGGGAGATTTTGAGTGAGAAAAATTATGACCTGTGTCTTCGCCACCTTTATACGGATCTTCCAGCTGTTGAAATACTCAGACAGGACATCCAAGCCTCTCTGGAGTTTGGTAGTCAGAGCTTCGATGACCCTACCCTTGTAGACGATGGATGAGTCGTCTGCGAACAAAGTCAACGATCCACCATCAGGGATAGCCGGTATATTCGAGGTGAATAGATTGAACAGGATGGACCCAAGGATACTTCCTTGGGGCACACCTGCACCGATGTTAAAGGAATCCGAAGTGATGCCATTCAGAGAGACCTGGAAAGTCCTGTTCCATAGATAATTTTGTATGATCTTCATGAGGAAGATCGGACGACCGTATTGATGCAGCTTGTACACCAGGCCATCATGCCATACATTGTCAAACGTTTTTTCAACGTCTAACAATGCACACTAAGAAAAAGACATGTAAATTTCAGTGCCCTGAGACCGACATATGCAAGCGGCCTTTTTAACATAAGAATCAGTTGAAAAGGACGAGAAAATCAATTCAATTAAACGCACATTTTGTCGAGTTGCATATGTTTCAGTTTCAGGACACTTAATTTTACATGCTATGTTTGTTTACGTTCCATGATTTACGTCAAAGCTGAATTACGTCTCGTATAAAAATAATAATTTCTAAGTGTGTGCTATAGCAGATGTTTTTGAAACAGCCTTGTTCCGTCTAAGAATGTTTGTTACTCGGGTCAGTTGGTAGACGGTTGATCGACCTTTTCGAAAACCAAACTGCTCCTCGAGTAAGATATTGTTTTCTTCGGCAGATGTTAGAAACCGGCTGTAAACTGCCCTTTCGAAAAGCTTGGATAACCCTGAGAGAAGGCTGATGGGTCGGTAACTTGAAGGAGAGGAAGGATCCTTCCCAGGTTTCCGAATAGGGATGACTTTAGCTAACTTCCAGCACGAGTGGAAGTAGCCAAGTCGGAGGCACTGATTGAAAATCCGTGCCAGATAGTTGTAGAATCTGGAACTCAAGTGCTTGAGCTCCAGATTCAGGATGTTGTCGAAACCTTGGGCCTTCACGTTTTTGGAAGTTTTGATATAAGCCAACAGTTCGTCAGCCGTGATCTCGGATTCCTCGGGGTTCATTTTCAGTGGAAATTCCGTATCACAAAATTGCCCACCGATTCCTGGAGTCCTATTTCGAACCCCTTCGGATACGGTTGTGTTGTAAATTTTCTCTATGTTTTGTGCGTGCGTTTGCTTTCATAGTTTTCAGGTGCTTTTGTCTGATTAGCGCTGGCACTCTGCCCCCCGGACGGTTAAACGTGTGTGATTGGTGAAAGTTTTAGAATCGAGAAAGAAAACGTGTTTGCAAGCATCAGAATAGATGTCGTCATCTACGTTATTTGTTTTTTTTTCTTCACTTGTGCTACCGGAACAGAAATTTGAGGCATCACGAGGGATAGTTTTCAATTTTAGTTTTGAATACTTTTGTTTCCCGGGCGCGATAATTTGATTTGAACGGCGATGATCTATTGTTAGGGTTTTGCGATGTGCATTGCTTTTGTGCACAGAGTGACTTGAAAAAGAAAAGCGAAGAAAAGTGACATTTAGTTATTGTGTGGTTGGAATCGCTGGAGGAGGAATTGTTTAAAAATGACTAGAGAAAAGTATGCGTGGAAGCATCGGGAATGCGCTCCCGGGTGTAATGATTTGGTGAGTACGGTCCAGTTGAAGATTGTTGAAAAATGTATTTGTGGTGATGCAAATTATGGTTTAGATGAGGCATGGCTTCAGACATTTTGTGTATTCAAATAAAACATATTACATACTAAATACGCACAGGGCATCGTCTGCTGACCATTGCCGCGGGTATATCGTGGTAGTCCCAGGTACCCGGTTCAAGCTTTAGTTGGCGGCGGTGGCTCTTCTTGACCTTCTACCCCCTGAGTAGTTAGTGTGAATAAGGACGTCTATGTGATGTTTTGCTGTACCTGTTGTGGTCATCTAGTACATCCTGTTCCATTAACTTGTTGAGGACACCCTTTCTTGCCTCAAAATTAACCCTTTTTGAAGTACTAGTCTTCACAACATAAAGGGCACCATTACGGAGCATGAGATTTGATCAAATTATTCGCAGTTCTACTTGTCCAGCGCCCCCGGCTGGGTGAGGGATAGAGGATGACACATACACACACACACACACATTTACTCGGAGAGGCATTTGATATATTATCAATAAGTGGCAAGTTAAAATCATAGTGCAACCAATAATCATAAGAGGTAATTGTCAATAATTCATTAATTAATAGAAATAACCATATCACCCTATCATTGATATCACTATTTTTATCATAACAACGGGAATACGCAACTAAATTATCAAAACTATTTGGATCAACACAAAAACAACAGTGACCAAACGGGCATCATAGCCTAGGAACGTATGTGTGCTGATTTAAAATAGAGGCTCATAGAGGCAAATTTACCAATAAAAGGGGTCCGTGTACAGCATTAGTAGAAGTATGCTGCCACTGTGATCAGTACAATAAAAAATCGTGTTAATACCTGTGGCCATACCCTCTCACTTGATCCCGAGGTTCTATCCCCAGGATTGGTTTTCGAATGATGGATCATCTTCTACGGAACATCCTTAAATGGCCACACTGCAGTGCACTGGCTATTTGTTGAAATTTTCTTAATTCTAAAACATTGAAAACATTTTAAATTTTAAGTCATTGACTCTTGTTCCAAGAAATTTTTAAATACCTATACTCATCCCACACTCAATGATGCAGTTTTTTTTGCCGTAAGTTCAACTTGATGGTGTTATTTTTCAGCGTATTTTCCCATGTTTCTCTCCAATCCGTGTGTGGAGTCCACACTGTAGACAACCAGCAAAACAGGAAGAAGTACGCGGCAGTGTAAATGTCGCTAAGCAATTTGACGTGGAATTTATGGCCCCCGATTTACATAGTATTTCATTTTCTCGAGTTCTCGACGAAGACTACAGACCACGACATGGCGTGGAAGATCACATTTTGCGGAATGTGAATCTCAACAGAGCGTGATTGGTCAAACTGTTTCGCCGGAGATTTTTCATCTAACGCAAAATTTACGAACCGGCATTTCTTGACGGAGCACGTGCACACGTTTCCATGTTTCGCTCTAAGAACGATTAGATTGTTTCACGTAGGTAGTGGCACAAAATTAATAATTGTTAGTTAAAGCGGTAATTAATCATCGCTGCTGCTACTGCCTAAAAAGACTGAAGCTGATGCAATGTGGTTCGAAAATAAAAATAGCAAATAATGCAAACTTCTACGAGTTAAAAGTACATTAACCTATTCGTTTTTTGTTTGCATTTTTGTGTTCTGTAGTTATATCGATATCTGAAACACATTTGAACGAAAATTAATTATTATGTAGTTTGGAAATGCGTGAGTGAAAATATAGCGTAAAATTACTACTAATAGCATTTGAAGATAATGGATCACCTAAATATAGAAGCCGCCAATGTTTTTACTACTATCGAAAGTCTGTTTCAAGCAACACCCAGCTTGGTGTTGTGTACAGGGAAGCGCAGTGTGTTCAAGCTTTTGCGCCATCAAGAGAGAGATAAAGTGGCAGAGAGGTTAAGAAACTCAACGATACATGCTTGCTTCTGGAAAACTGGTACTACTTCTAGTTAGAGAAAGTTGATTAGACAACGGTTACTTGAGAGCTAGCTACTGGATGAATGTTCATACCTTCGGAATCAAACTCGGGCTCGTAGAAAGGGTCTCCTCTTTCTGCGATTGGTTTGTGTTGGGGAGTGCGTGAGAAATTTGATTTTGTGCCAATATTTGCATAAAGCGCGGGAATGGAAGAAATGTGGTTGGTATGTATTTGGAGACAAAATGGGACATTGTATTAATCACTTGGAATTATTTCTATTCCTACAATGCTTCATTATTAATAATTACAAGTAGCACGTCTACTTGAAGCATGCGTTTATTGACTGCAAGCTTGGCAACAGTTGATGTTTGAGAAAGCTAATAACTTACCAAGTATTTCGTCGTCTATGGACGGATCCTGACGGATGGTTTCCTCAGTTGGAAAGAGATCATGAAGTTTACATTTCTCTAAAATAAGAAAGAGTAATAATGATTTAATAAATTGATATCTAATCATGTTGTCTTAATGCTGAGGCCTCCCTTAGTTCAATCAGTATGAGCATGGCTACGAAACGAAATCATTCTAGAGACCAGTTTACTGATAACAAGATAGGTTCGGCGCGCCGTTTACATCTCGGGAGCCGCATAGGGCTAATTTTTATTCTTTTTTCATCGTAGGAATGACGTTTTTAATTTTAATATTTTTTTATGAAAGTAGAAATAATTTTCTTAAATTTTTCTTTTGGCCAAACATTTGTACGTCTTATCAATTTTAAGCTAGAATGGTTTGTGCAAAACATTGAAAAGCTATTCAGCCCTTTTAAAATGGAAGTTCAGATTTTTTTTTCAAGGAAAACAAGTAAACAACGTTGTTTAAGTAGGTGAAGTCCAAGCATTGAAGTCATCTACAAATAATATAAGCAGGGCAGTTTTAAAAAAAGTGCCTAAAAAATAACTTATTGTCGACTGGAAAGTGAACAAAACAGCAAAAAAGTGACTTGCAGATGAAGAAAAAAATAAATAAAAGTAGTAGTGATGAATTTTGTTTAAAGAGATTTCAACTGCACATGCAGTCATTCATCCCTGGTTAAATCAAATTAATTTCCAATTTTCTCTTTAATGTACCCTAAAAAATATCACATATCCAATAGATAAAGGCCAGATACATTTCACATTGCTTTCCTGTGAGCACAGGAATTAAATGTAAATTATGAGGTCGATGAATTGAATTGAAAAATCATATAAAATCCATGTGACCGCGTAAAAGTGGAATGGAAGCTGGAGCATGTAAAGAAATTGTACATGTAATTTTACAGCTTTTGGCATATAGCTGTTTCAAATATGAAATTACAAGCTTTTCACGTAACGTTACTTGCAAGTGAAGATGATCATGTGCCTCATGTAAACATCCATGTAAAATTATGTAAAACTACACGTTTGCTCCTATTAATTTACATGTTTTTACATTGGCAAAACGTGTACATGAAAAAGATTGATTTTCTTAACACTGCTTGCTGTGTTGGTATATTTTAGTAACAAACAGGTGGCTGGGTTGCTGTAAAAAATGTTTTATTTGAATCAAGAATGCACTTAAATTGCATATGGAAGAAAATAGTAAATTTCAAATACCACAGGGTGGTCCCTGCATTAAGGAATTTAGATTCGTGGTTGTCTATCATAGTTTTCCCAGTTTAACAGAAACAGCTCAATATGGTAAAACACACCAAGTAACATCGCACTGTAAAACAAACCATAAGAAATGGAGCACGTAATTAGAAAGTACATGTAATAAAAATGTACATTTACAGCTTTTGATATGTAAATTCTTCAAACATGTAAATTTACTAACTTGTCATGTAAACATCCATGATTATCATGTTCATCATTTAATTTTTCATGTTAAATGATGTAGAATTACACGTTCTCTCCTCTTAATTTACGTGTATTGATATTGGCAAACAGTTTACATGAAAAAGAAGGAGTTTCACTACACTTTTTTTGCTGTGCATTATTCAAGTTTCAGTCATGGTCTACAAGAGCATAATAAAACATAAACTTTCGCTTGGGAAATAGATTATTATTTCGGATAAATTTTGACCTTCTGCAATGCAATCTATAGTTGTGAGATCAAAATAAGTTGTTTTCATTCAAAACAGAAATGTAAGGACATTCCAAGGAGAATATTTGAAAAATTAAAACAAAACCTTACATGAATTATAAGGGAACTCCGGGAAGATGATTTGAAAAGGCTAAGCTGAATTTCAAAGGATTTTAGTGATAAACATCCTAAAAATTGCTGAATAGTTCTGTTTAGATTTCAAAGACACCTCTTTGTATATGTAGATTAATTTAAGGGAATTCTCACGACAATTTTTTAGAACACTTATAGTTTAGGTTCTAAGAGTTTCATAGAGGGGATTCTATGCCAGAGAGAATCATAAGATTATTCAAGGGAATCCTAAAATTATTGAGAAAATTTCATAGATATCTTATAAACAGTAATCTTATGGATATCTAGAAATAATCTACATACCTAGGTAATTCAGACATTGATAATTTGGACCAAAGAAATTTGTTTAGTAAGTAGCATTTATCATTCTGAAACTTCAAACAGTTGCTAACATTATACATTATACATTAAAGTAGACTCTAAATGGCAATTATAGGCTATATGGATATCTTTGGAAATATTCTGTGGCTGAGTACATAATGCAAGTCCTGGTTGATCTTAGAGATTCGATCTGACCTTTTAAACCAGGCCTGCCCAACCTTTCTAAACTTGCTTTGAAGCTACATTTTATTTATTTCTTATTCATTCTGGGCTAAAATTCATAATGAAATTATATAATCAGAATGATATCATTACTGAGATCCAGAGACCATGTCCGGCCCGCGGGCCGCACATTGGGCAGCGCTGTTTTAAACAATTTTAGATGACGTGGACTGCAGAACGCGATATTTTTCTATTGGATTCCATTTTAGCATACTTGCCAAAATTGCACCTCTTACATCCAGTACTTACTGAACGGAACGTACTCGTATCCATTTCCAATGCGGCCCTTTTTCGGTGGCAGCGGTGGCCTAATGATGTACTTGGTTCCATCGGGGCTGGTAATGAACGGATCGATGCTCATCGCCTTCGAGAAGCTCCACAGTAAATATATCACCCCCGCTTTGTGTTCCCACTCGTCAAAGAGGGCCTCCCGCAACGATTGCGGCACCAGGACATTAATTTCCGTTGAGTTTATCGTCACTGTCGTTAGCGCCCCGGACACGCCGACCGTTTCTTTGAGGGAGCTGATATCCGTCGGATCCAACATCATCAGCGGTGGATTTTTCAACTTCTGGACGGAAACGCTTTCCTGCTGGCTGTGTCGGGCAGTCATTTCATGGTACACATTCTTCAACGCGTTGAAGTGTTCCGTTTCGTCTTTGATCCAATAGGCAAACAGGTGCCGCCGGAAAGTATCATCAATTTCGGTCAGATTGTCCACCCGCAGCTCGTCGGCGAGAAAGTCTTTAATGTAATCCTCCTTGGAGATTGTCTTTTTCATGTTGGCGATACGGTTCTCGTTGATGTACGAAAGGGTGGTGAAATTGCGGGTGGCATTCGATTGGGGAAGCACGGCTGGGGTCACACCGTATCGACATATTTTCCACAGCCCTGAATGTGATGATTTGAAATAACGTCTGGTCTCAGGTATGAAAATGCCTAGAAAGAGAAGAATGGAAAATATGTGAGAAAAATGTGAATGCCGGCAATGGATGAATGGCTCTCCTTGGACCAATTTTGATCGAGGAGATTATGATCAAAAGTCTTGAATTGAAAGCCATGGCAGTTAGAATCATCATAATGTATATTTTTCATCAGAACATATAGAACAGAGTCAAGTCACAGAGTCTGATTCGAAAACAAAAGGATGATTCAGTGATATACCGGTCTCTGGCTCTCGATCACATGCTTGACAATTTGCCAAATTACTTTTCCTCGTTCACTAAGCAACAAATGACATCTTGGATCCTAGAAACATGGAAATCCGAGCCAAGCCAGTACCGAATGCGGCACCCTCTTTACAGCAGTGAATAAAACTTACTTCCGTAACTTTTTCGCATCAGACAGCTTGGCAAAAAATATACATCAAATGCCGGGCAGAATTATTTACATTCAAACCGAGCCTCTATGTGCGGGCCTGACTGCGGTTGAGACAATGAGGAGAAAGTCCCATGCCAAAATAATTATTTCTTGGTTCTCTTCCTCCACCTGGCACGGTTTGCTGTCTTCCTTCTGTTTCCAACTTTACGATGTTACGTTTGAGTTTTTCTAGTGATTCATGCATCGTTTGGTGATTACGGTAATTAATGGGAAGAGATAAACGAGAAAATGTCGAAAAATATTCAAAAGTCTATTTTTCAAGCTATATTCTTGCGCGGTTTCGTCACCATCACCAAATAAATGGACATTGAAGTATTGTTTTCTTATTTTGTCAATCAGTTGCTAAGACGAAGAAGTCTTAGTAGGACATATTGTTACCATTTAGTTTACAAGACAATCTTCCTTGAATAGAGATTACCGAACGAATGTGTAAACAAGAAATGTACAAATGATTTTTTTTTCAAAGAATTGAAGCTTTCATCTAGTTAAAATCTTACAATACAATCATGTTTTGATTTTGACGGTTTGTACCCTAAAATAAAATATATAGCTCAACTTGTTATTGTAGCGTGAGAGCTCAAAAGAACTTAAAAAAATATTTATTTAAATTTTTTATTTAAGTTGCCATTCAATATTTTTAAAAGAAATATAAAAATTAAACATTTATTAATTTGAAATTTAATATGAAATTGATTATTACTAGTTCCCAAAACCTGTGAGTAACGCATCTAGATTGAAGTGTGCTTTGCTACCGGATAGATATGTATTTTTTCTTGTTTTTTCGTTAGCTACGGTAATTTTTTCGAAGTATTTTAGCTATTTTTTAATTACTTATGCTATAGAGTAAGAAGCTATGCCACGGATTCACTTGGATAACAAACTATGTGCATGAGCATTATTTGTATAATAAATTATGAGCACATCCATGGTCACAGTTGTATAGTCTGTGTATAGTTGATGTATACTGCTTATAATTATTATACAAAAAACACTTATGGTCATGGTAGGTCTTTCAAGTGTATCTGCGGCATTAGTTCCTGTGTTTTGAATACAACTTTTTATGAGAATCCAGAATCGATTACAGTACTTGTTCGCTAGCTGAGTTAAAAGTGGAGCCCAGCAAGCGAATTCCACTCGCTAACTGGGCTGGATTGTCAAACGTCAAAATACTGAGGGAGCTTCAATGGGTTGTTTGATCGGCGTTAAACAAATTAATGTCCATTGAATTGAAATAGTAAAAACTTACTGATTCTTATTTTCTCAGCATCCAATTTCGCTACATATTCAAGTGTTGCTTCAGTGTGAAATAAATACAATTTCAAATTTATTTATATTAACACTTAATATTTCATTCGAATGCCCCTCACCAATTTTGACAACGAAATGTCAAACTAAATGTGACGTATATGTTTTACGTATAACTGCTTTTTAACTGGGCTACAGTCCAGTTAACGAATGCCCAGTTAAAAAACAGCACAATTAAAGAACGTCCAGTTAGCGAACACGTACTGTAAACTGTAGTGATATGTGCATGGAAGATTTTGGACAGTTAGCTGTTGCGAAAGATATATCTATGAGCAGAAGGAAGAGGACGATGGTGACTATGATGCGTTGAGACAGGATCTATCGACACAACCTTTGATGAGATTTTTCCATATTATTTTTCTGACAATGTAGGGGAAATGGCTCTAATGTTGGCCTATGGATCTAAGATTGGGCCCATCGCTAAACATCTGCTATTATCCGGTACTAATGGATATTTTTGGTTTCTATTGAAAATTTAGTCGATTCCTGAAATTATGTATGGGCCCAAATTAGGGACATTTCGGCCGACATTATATTCATTTCCCCTATATTTCCAATAATTTTTTACAGCATGCTTTATTAAATAGGGTATATGTCCCTTACCTCGGTCTAATATGAAGCCTTCAAATACATTTTATTCCGTATCTTATGTAATAATTGAGCTGCAGTCGATGTTTCACACACATGTAAGCTTAGATATTCTAATTCTAGATAGAGCTGGAATTAGGGCCTAACAGCTTTTATAAACAATGACTCGCCCACGCAAACCAACATCCTCATCGGCTAGGGAAAGACTTCCCCTATCCGATGCACAGTGGGGATTTTGGCAGCAAAAAGGCTTGAAATTGTCTGCCGCTCAAACCACACATTGTAAATATGACTTCCTTTGAGAAAAATGTCAAGAATGTTATTCTGCATATTTTCAATTGGCGCACGCGGTGATAAGTGCATGTGTGGAGCCAATTTTGCCTAAAAAACCCGTCTTTTCTGTAGTTCTGTCCCATTATGATACTTCACTGATTCAAATAGTCAGTACCTTTTATCAGAAATAGCCAATTTGTCTTCTAGTAGTCAGCTTGTGCCTTTTAAAAACTATTAATAACATTTATAGGAGAGCATAGGGTCAAATAAGTCAGATTTTGTAATAAAATATAAAACTTTTCCGAATTTAAACTCAATAATAAAAAATAAAAAATAGATGTTCAGAAAGTGGATTACAATAGTCTAAAGGACAAAACTGATTCAAATGCATGTTTTGAGTGTATTTTGCCCCGGTATCTTATATCAAAACAATAAACTTTTTTTGAAAGATTTCTGATGACTGAACAATTTCTGCTGCTGAAATGCTAACACGAGATTTAGGTTTTCTTGCGGGAAAAGGAATCCAAGCATCAAATGTGCTTGTTTTTATACTGTGTACGGACAAATAAATACATTTTTAGTGCCTGATTTACTCCAAAATCCTCTATCAATTGAAAGCATTTAAACTGGTTTATTGGCTTAAAAAGACAATTAATTTTCTTTGGGAATTTCCAAATATACCGTTCAGAAGTCAGTAAGTGAGTTTTGATTAACTATTGGAAACATTTAAAGGAGAATGTGGGGTCAAATAAGCCACGTGTCAAATATACAAGTTTGCTCATTTTGAATGGCATATTAAAAAATAAATATGTACGCTGTACAAAATACTCAGTTAATTGGTTGCAATAGTCTAAAAGATCAAAATTATGCATGTTTAAGTATAATCCTTGTTTTGCACCGGTACCCTTGTTACTCGATTTATTTGTTAAATTACTTGATTAATTTGGTTCGAAAATTTAACAAGTCCAACATTACGGCCGTTTTACTAGTATAGACACCAGCCATTTTATATTTTTACAAGTCTACTGATTTTGGTTGTGGTTTGCGTAGGTATGAGAGCGACAACTAGAACTTTTCACTCTCTCTTTCTTACCAACGCAAATCTAGCCCGTGGACGCCAAGCACGCTCAATTCTGTACAGTTTTAATCGTGCATAGGGGTAAGAAGGGCATAATGAGCATCCCGCACTCCAGTTCCAAACTTCTAATGGTTCAAATTAAATTAATTGGTAGTAGGTTCAATATTACCATTGCAATGATTATTGAGCAATGAATTTGCTTCAAACCATAAGAAATCTAAGGCTAAAGCACAGGAAGCTCACTATGCCCCACCTGTTCACTATGCCCCTCCTTCCTCGACACGTATGCTCAAATAGATGTGTCAGCTATGCTTCAAATTATATATAATTTTGTTTACTCAAATTCGCAAAAACGTAGGTCAATCATAGAATGAGTATATGTCACTCATATTTCCGAAAAACTTTGAGATTTGGACGTAATTGCTTTTGTAAACAAACACGTATATCGCCAATTTCTCGTGAATTTAAACTCAATCTCACGAACAAACCATGCTAAATGATAGAGGAATAATTTATCTACCTGTTTGTGCCGTTAATTTTTTAGGTTGAGTTTTAATTTGCGAGAAATCGACGATAGACGTGTTTGTTTACAAAAGCAATTTCATCCTTATCTCAAAGTTCTCCGGATATAAGTAAATGTTACTCAAATATGAATGACATTTACTCATATTCGATAAAAATTTACTCATTCTAGAAGTGATCCACGCTTTTGCGAATTTGAGTGACCGGTACTTAATTATGAGTTAGTTTCATTTACCGTGCAGTTTGTTTTGATGGCAGGATTTAATGCATGCTATTTCTTAACAACCCAAATTTTAGTAGGATGTACTCATATCCATCAAAAGTAGGGCTACTCTAAATTAACCAAAACAAGTTGGAACTGAAAAGCTGACAAGGGCCTGTTCATAAACTACGTAGACAGTTTTTTGGGATTCTTGACCCCCCCCTCCCCCTGCGTAGACAATTGTCCATACAAAATTTTTAAAATTTGTATGGGTCCTGGATAGTTGTCAACCCCCCCCCCCCCTAAACTGTCTACGTAGTTTATGAACAGCCCCCAAACTAATAACATCGTTCAGATTTAGGTCGATGTTTTCCATTCGTCATCTTGTGTTTACACAATTTGTTTACACAATTTGAATTACCCTACTTTTGACGGATATGAGTAGATCCTACTCAAATTTGGGTTGCTTAGAAATAGCTTGTGTGCCTTGTCGACTCGTTCTTTCACGAAAAGATTAACCTTTTGCCTATGGGGTTTTTCAGTGGAAACAATCCGCTATGTTTCACAAAATTCAACATTTGCTTATGGGGT